GGGGGGGGGGGGGGGGGGGGGGGGGTATCCAGCTATGAAGGCTGAACATATGTGCTGCAGTAATTTAAAGTTAAGTTGATGAAGCTAGAGTCAGCAGCTGGTTAGCTTCGCACAAAGAAGAAGAAGCTTGTGTGTGAGTGCTAGGCTAGCTTTAGCTTCATATTGTATGCTAATACCGATATCTCATCTTGCTGGAAAGCTTGTCAGACTTTTACAAAATATTTGAATTACTTAATTGATTTATTATAATTGTATTTATTATACTTTTTTCATTTTACAAAAAAATGTGGTTTTCCCTCAAAATCCCCTTTTTTTGTTATTTTTTCTACTTCAAATTACTTCTTAATATAATTACATTTACTTCTGATTATGTGTAAATGTTTAATATTCCAACTAATTACATTTTTTATTTGGTTGCTGTAATTACCTTTTCTTTACCTATTTTATAGAATTTTTTATTTATTTAAACGTAACGAGACAAAGCCAGTCTGTTGGCATCAATAGTCATCTAATACAAAGTATATATGTAGTATATAGACATTCTTCATGCACATAATGTACAAAATCCTTACATTTATTTTTATTTGTTAATATATAAAACATTTGCACTATTTCTATAGTAACGACCTTGCAGAACACTTGTATATAGACTTATTGAAATCTTACTGTTGCTCATTTGTGCTTGTTATATATATATTATATTCCTGCAACAGTCTTTTACATACTTGTACACATAATGGTATATTCTTTATTAACTTTATTTGTGCAGCTTTGTTGTCCTTGTTTTTAGCTCTTTTCAGTTTGAGGACACAAAAACTGGACAAACATTCCTGAGATTTGAAGTCTAATTTGATTTATGTGAAAATTATAAAAACGCAGCTTGTTTTTCATGCGTCACACTTAACCATTTCTATCACATGAGAGTTGTTTTAGTTCTTGCATGATGAAAAGTGTCTCTGTTTGGTGATTTTACTGCGTTTCCCCCCCATCGGTGAAGCTTGTTTAAGGATGTGGTTTTCTCTTTAGGGTCACGAGCCAAAAAGTTATTTTAATATAACTAATTCCTCCTACGTCTGCTCTACTGTGTAATGAGCTTTATCATATCACTGTTGTTCTGTGTGATGTTGTCTCACGGCAATTTCCAGCATTTGTCGCCCTTTAAAGGTCAACGCCATCGGCCCTTTTACATGTTTTATGTGTGGGCTTTCTAAAAACCTACTGGCGCAATAAGAAATCATGCCGTTTGTCCACAAGCCACAGAAACATTTGTTACTGTGTCAAAGTGACCACAAAATCACAACAAAATCAAACGATAAAGAGGTTTCAAACAAACAGAGGTAGATCCTTTGCTTAAGTTGAGTAAAAAATACTCCATTACAAGTAAGAAATCCTGAATTTAAAATGTTATAAGTAGAAGAACAGATGTATTATCAGGTCAATGCACTAAAAAACTTAAAGGTCCCATGTCATGGCCATTTCTACTGATCATAATTCCATTGTTGAGGTCTACTAGAATAGATTTATATTGTTCAGTGTTCCAAACTCACATTGGTGTCTCATACAGCATCTCAGTATAGTATGTGTATTCACTCTCTGTCCTACACGCCTTGTTGGAGCTCCTGCCCCCCCCTCCCGATGAGCCCACTGTGCTCTGATTGGTCAGCTCGCCCACTCTGTTCTGATGAGATCACCACCATTACAGCAGAACATCAGTGATTATGTGTTACCATGGCGTTAGCAACCAGAAAAGGACACCAGTAAGGACAAACAGATGAGAATGCTGCGTGGGGTCTGGGTGCCGTGTTGGCGGGACGTTGCGGGGCTCGCTGCTGCGAGGAGTGGACAGTGTGAGCTGGGTTCATTTCCTGCTTGCTGCGTGGGGTCTGCGAGACATCGCGAATGGAGGGGGGGTGCTAAGGGGGCTGCAGCACCCCCATCTGCGAGGCTCCACTAGCACCCGCACCCCCATACGTGGCGCACTTACAGTGTAAGCGCGCCACAGTTTCGTTGCTGCGAGATTTTCCATTTGGGTATGGTCATGTCACTGTACCCAGGAAGACAAAGAGAAATGTCCAAGGAGGCGTTCTGGGGCAGCACAGACAGGTCTTCTCTGTGTTAGAGTTTTACTCGCTACAGGGTGTACTTTGAGGGTTTGTGACTCTGCAGACCGTTTACATGCAGAACAACCTTCATAACACAAGGGGACGGGTAATAACCAGAACAGCATGACATGGGACCTTTAAAGGTTAATGTTTTCACGGTACTATTTCATCATAGAATATTTCAAATGTTCCTGTCTTTATCACGAACCCTACATGTAAGAGCATTTGATATTGAGGTCTGCCAGTGTGGAGGTAATATTATATGTGCAAAGAAAATGTAGTGAAGGTAAAATCGTTATATTTGCTAGGGCTGCACTATTAATCAAAATGATATCTTAGTAAGGACTAGTGCAATATTGAAATTGCAGTGATTGTGGAGCTGCAGACAAGAAATGGTTACAGACTTAATAGAAAAAACAGTTTGTTACAGATCCTCTCAAAACATCTACATTTTGCAATTGCCTTTAAAGTAAAAGTACTTAATTACTTTGCAGCAAAGTGGCTGAAAAATACTGCTGATTGGCGTCAAACACTCATACGTTTATGTTTGTCTTAACTGGGTTACGTCAGTCATTTTGATTGCATTCTTCATGAGGTGTAAATATTGACTTCCTCTTGTTTCAGGGTGGGTGTGGACCCGGATCAGGACCAGCAGCCGTGCACAGACAGCTTCCAGGTCCTGCAGGGGGTGAGGAACTCTTTTATTATTTATTATAAAGAAATATACATACATATTTTCCTTTCTCCTTTTAATGCCAATTAAACCCCCTTGATGTAGTTTGAGAAATGGCAGAAAGGGAGGGGAAATATTTAGATTTTAGGGCGCACACTTCCTTTAAGTTACTGCTGAAACTCTTTTACTTCTGCAATTTAAAGTCAGTCAGCGAGTCTGAAGAAACCCTTTAGTTTGTCGGATACAAATTGCTTATTTTCTGAGAACTATTGAGAAATATATTGATGTAATATAGTTTTAAGATGAGAAACGGAAACACATAAAGGAACTACATTAACAGTATTGGAATGAATTCCTACATATCCACGTATCTACAGTATATAGTACGGCTCCATTTTATTCTATTTTATATGTATATTTTCTATTCCTGCAACTTACTTATTATCTGTTTTATTGCACTATTTTAGGTCTGTTTCATTCCATGTTTTTAAGTATATTTCTGATTTGTTTTTCCAAAACTGCGCTGTAGCTTTTGTGCATACAACAAAAAAAGCTTTTTAATATTTTGTGTTGAATCAAATCTTGAATATGCATGATGTATTTCCCGCTGTGTGTCTGCAGGAGGGGCCTCAGGCTGAAGGACAGAGTAAAACCAAACAGGAGAGCGCCTGGCTCTTCAGACTGTGGTACACCTTCGATCACAAGTATCCTTTCTGTACCGACTGTCTTTTAAAGGGGCTGATGTTCAGGTTCATATCAGTATGTAGTGTCTCTACTTTAAAGAGTCCTCTCCTGCTGATGTTCAGGTGTATATCAGTATGTAGTGTCTCTACTTTAAAGAGTCCTCTCCTGCTGATGTTCAGGTTCATATCAGTATGTAGTGTCTCTACTTTAAAGAGTCCTCTCCTGCTGATGTTCAGGTATATCAGTATGTAGTGTCTCTACTTTAAAGAGTCCTCTCCTGCTGATGTTCAGGTGTATATCAGTATGTAGTGTCTCTACTTTAAAGAGTCCTCTCCTGCTGATGTTCAGGTGTATATCAGTATGTAGTGTCTCTACTTTAAAGAGTCCTCTCCTGCTGATGTTCAGGTGTATATCAGTATGTAGTGTCTCTACTTTAAAGAGTCCTCTCCTGCTGATGTTCAGGTGTATATCAGTATGTAGTGTCTCTACTTTAAAGAGTCCTCTCCTGCTGATGTTCAGGTGTATATCAGTATGTAGTGTCTCTACTTTAAAGAGTCCTCTCCTGCTGATGTTCAGGTGTATATCAGTATGTAGTGTCTCTACTTTAAAGAGTCCTCTCCTGCTGATGTTCAGGTGTATATCAGTATGTAGTGTCTCTACTTTAAAGAGTCCTCTCCTGCTGATGTTCAGGTGTATATCAGTATGTAGTGTCTCTACTTTAAAGAGTCCTCTCCTGCTGATGTTCAGGTGTATATCAGTATGTAGTGTCTCTACTTTAAAGAGTCCTCTCCTGCTGATGTTCAGGTGTATATCAGTATGTAGTGTCTCTACTTTAAAGAGTCCTCTCCTGCTGATGTTCAGGTGTATATCAGTATGTAGTGCTCTACTTGACAGTCTCCATGCTTTAATGTTCAAAAGCTCTTTATTTTTCTCATACTGCCTGTGCTGCAGCACCTCTTTTTCACCCTCTGTCTTAAACCAGAGCCCAGTCTGCTCTGATTGGTTAGCTGGCTGGCTCTGTTGAGATTGGTCAACCGCTTGGAGATGTCCCGCCCCTTAAGCCTAATCACTTACAATGTCTCGAAAACGCTAGCCAATAGGAGCGTGAGTGTTCCGTAGTGATGTCACTGTGTTCTGGAGGTAAACCAAGGAGTCCAATGGAGGCGTTCTCATGTTTTTGGGGTAGTCAGGAGACAACGTACATAAAATCTCAGTGCCCCGTGATAGGCGCTAATCAAAGAGCCTAGGCATGGAAAAGTTGCTTTCATATACAACATCCCCATATAGTATAGAAAAAGACATAGAGGCTGCAGCCACAGGTTCCTATGTGGCCTCGAACGAAAACAAGACTTGTTTCTAAACTTCCATTTGTTTCTAAACTTCATTTAAGTTACAGGAAAAGCCAAAGCATCTGTCTTGAGAATTATAAACAAAGACAAACACTAAATAAATAGCCGCTGTTTTACTACATCTGTTAAATAATGTGAGTTGCACTTTACCTCCTGAGAGTGAATCCACCCTGCTCGCTCCAGCTGCTCGTCAGGGTCTCGGGTTAAAGCAGAGAAACAGGAAATGTGCTTAACACATTAACTACAGCCTGTTGGAGCAGAGGCAACAAAACGCTTCATGGAACAAACTCCTCGAGACTACCCAGAAGTCTCCAGTTTGTTTTTCGGAAAAAACCAGCAATGTGGTGTTTTAGCAAACATGTAATGCAGGTACAAAATATTCCCAAACTACCAATTTGTATTATAAATTGCGTGTAAAACAATCCTGCTAACCATGCTACGCTAAACACAGAGAGCAGCAGCCTCTTGACGGCAACCGGGAAAATCCCCCAAAATCACCAACAATCATATTTTTCCAATTCTTTGAATAAAAAACACATTTCCTTTTGAATTTCTACCTCTTATTATTTCTCCCCTATGTTTGTAATTAATCTCACACTGATGAAAAATGTATAGCTGTTTTCCCTCAACACCTGCCCAGTTACCTGAAGCCCATCCTGACGCACAGCGGCCCCCCCCCTCACCTCCACGCTGCCCGCATACTGCAGCCCGCTGGCGAGCTGTCTGACCAGCCAGCAGGCGTACGAGGTGAGACACTTTTGCAGATCATTTACATGCAGACAAACCTATATGACACACTACAGGAAAGGGAACACCTGGAAAAAACATAATTTATGGCCGCTTAAAGGTCACCTATTATGCAAAATCCTCTTCTCCATGTCTCTTCTACATCAAACATGTGTCCCCTCTTCTTCATGTCTCTTCTACATCAACATGTGTCCCCTCTTCTTCATGTCTCTTCTACATCAACATGTGTCCCCTCTTCTCCATGTCTTTTCTACATCAACATGTGTCCCCTCTTCTTCATGTCTCTTCTACATCAACATGTGTCCCCTCTTCTTCATGTCTCTTCTACATCAACATGTGTCCCCTCTTCTTCATGTCTCTTCTTCATCAACATGTGTCCCCTCTTCTTCATGTCTCTTCTACATCAACATGTGTCCCCTCTTCTTCATGTCTCTTCTACATCAACATGTGTCCCCTCTTCTTCATGTCTCTTCTCATCAACACGTGTCCCCTCTTCTTCACGTCTCTTCTTCATCAACATGTGTCCCCTCGTCTTCATGTCTCCTTCTACATCAACATGTGGTCCCCTCTTCTTCATGGTCTCGTCTACATCAACATGTTTCCCTCTTCTCCATGTCTCTTCTACATCAACATGTGTCCCCTCTTCTTCATGTCTCTTCTACATCAACATGTGTCCCCTCTTTCTTCATGTCTCTTCTACATCAACATGTGTCCCCTCTTCTTCATGTCTCTTCTACATCAACATGTGTCCCCTCTTCTTCATGTCTCTTCTACATCAACATGTGTCCCCTCTTCTTCATGTCTCTTCTACATCAACATGTTTCCCCTCTTCTTCATGTCTCTTCTACATCAACATGTGTCCCCTCTTCTTCATGTCTCTTCTACATCAACATGTGTCCCCTCTTCTTCATGTCTCTTCTACATCAACATGTGTCCCCTCTGTGGAAAGAGACTCTGAAAGTTTCAGGAACAAAGATTCTCTCTCTTTTTGATCCATTTCTATAAAAACCTGTCTGAAAATGAGCTGATCAGATTTTGGCCACTTTGTGATGTCATAAACGATTTGTTGTCTTGTGTAACCATTAGCCAATCACCAACCAAGGTAAACCCCACCCCCCCCCCCCCCTTATCACCTGAATCTCCTCCTAGAGCACCATTGAGTTCTTTGTAACCAAATGTCTCTCAGAGGGGCGTGGGGAGGGGCTCCTTATTTCATCTAAAGTAAACAGACAGAGAATCAGCACTTTGGAAACAGGGCTGAAACAGAGGGGATTATGGGTAAATGCTGCAATGATCTGTTTGGTGTTTGGAGCCAAACACTTCAGAGACATGTTTTGTGTTTATCTGAGACCTGTAATATGTGGAGGAAAAAACCGTATAAGAGAGGGACCTTTAAATGATACTATAAAGTATTTTTTTATCTTGTGTGAAATGTGTTTTTGTTGTGCTAAAGGTTTAAAGATCTAAGGATATATTTCAAATTGGCTTAAACCGAAGCGCTGAATGTGTGCCTCAGTAAGTCATCTCTAGAAATACTGAAGGCTTTTCTCTCAGGAGAATTGTAATACCGTCAAAGTATTCGTCGAGCCTGCCAATAAACGCACAAAGCACCGAGGCCTTCAGTCAGAAAAAGGAAATGGACAGTAGAGAAACCTTATAAAGGGACACAAAAGGCTCTTTTACAGCGCTTTGAATAACACTCTTATATTTAAACACTGACGGGTAGTCACACTTCTCTTTTTCATTTTATGTTGAAATACTTTCATGGCTTTTGCTTTCTTGACTCTCCTCTCACTTTTAGGGTCACTGTCTGGTTTCAAACTGCATTTAAATGAGTCTTTAGCTCTGCATCCATACATGTTTAGCTGCTGTTTGAGTTTAGCATGTAGTTCATTTATCAGCAGCGCTCAGAGCTCTGTGCTGCTCAAGTGAGCAGAGACGGGATTAAATTAAGCTCTGATTCCTCTACCGTTATGGATATTCTAAAAAGGGGGGAGGGAATTTAAAAAACAACCAAAAACAGGATGTTGGTTCACATTGACCTCAGATTGCGTAACATTTAAAATGCGGTCGCATAAAATACTTTTTGAAGGAATGTATTGCTACATTTCAACATCAAGGCAATTCAAAGTGCTTTACAACCACACATTGAAATCATTAAGATATGTTCAAGAAACAGATTCGAAAATTACATTTTAAATACAAAAAAAATAGATATAAAAAGAAAAGTAACAGTGTGTGCAATTAAAATACATTCTTATTAATTATTATATTTATTTTAAGGATTATCACCATTTATTTAATAATATACATTTATAATTTAATAAGTATTTATTATAGATATTAATTTTCATTATTTATTCCTTTTGTTTTCACTTACGAAAAATACTTGTGGCATGTTTCTTTGTTTTGGTCATACTGTATTTAAAGATGTTGTAATTAGAATTTTGAACGAACTACATGTGAACAAAATGAGTCTATAAATAACAAAATAGATGGAAGGCCCCTAAAGTCAAAAGAACAAAAACACTGGGCATTATTCCATATTTGTCTTATTGTCAACAAATCCCAGTTCAGTCAGACAACTCACGTGTTTCTTAATATGTTATTATAGCAGCATAATAGTTTGAGTTTGGTGTCTAGGCTCGGGCCTCATCACTCCCACAGATTAGAACATTGAGTGATGATTATAGTGATAACTATCCCCCGAGCCTACAGGTGGAAGCTGGGGTGGAAGCTGGGGTGGAAGCTGGGGTGGAAGCTGGGGTGGAAGCTGGGGTGGAAGCTGGGGTGGAAGCTGGGGTGGAAGCTGGGGTGGAAGCTGGGGTGGAAGCTGGGGTGGAGCTGGGGTGGAAGCTGGGGTGGAGCTGGGGTGGAGCTGGGTGGAAACTGTGGTGGAAGCTGGGGTGGAAGCTGGGGTGGAGCTGGGGTGGAAGCTGGGGTGGAAGCTGGGGTGGAAGCTGGGGTGGAAGCTGGGGTGGAAGCTGGGTGGAAGCTGGGGTGGAAGCTGGGGTGGAAAGCTGGGGTGGAGCTGGGGTGGAAGCTGGGGTGGAAGCTGGGGTGGAGCTGGGGTGGAGCTGGGGTGGAAGCTGGGGTGGAAGCTGGGGTGGAAGCTGGGGTGGAAGCTGGGGTGGAAGCTGGGGTGGAAGCTGTGGGTGGAAGCGGGGGTGTTGAAGCTGGGGGTGGAAGCTGGGGTGTGAAGCTTGGTGTGAAGATGGGGGGGGATGGTGGGGGGGCAGGCAAGCATTTCCCAACTGTGGCCTCCATCACTCCCATCCCTGTCCAACCACTAAACGCACTATAACATGCACACATACAAACACACTACTTACTTCCCATCAAAGACTGCAGCCTAAAATACCATGTTATTTATTTGTATATTTCTTAAGTATCAACTGATATTTTTTAGTAACTATTTATAGTTAAACATTGTAGCTTTATATATTTTAACATTCTGGTAAAGTGCATATATGACCCTGATTATTATTGCTACTATCTCTGCTTTATCACTGTTTTTTATGGATGTTTTCTTAATTTATGTTATGTATTGGCATTGAGATGCCAACTTAATTTCGTTGCCTGATGTGTGATGACAATAAAGATATATTCTATTCTATTCTGGTGGGGTAGGCGAGCAGCAGCAACATGAAACACAGCAGCAGGAACATGAACGTAGCAATAGCAAGTGAACACAGCAGCAGCAGCATAGCGAGGCAGAGGCAGGAAGACCTGGCAACTTAAATAGAGTGGCATGTTTAGGAGAATGTGTTTGGTTGGTTGTAAGAGGGGCGAGGTGCGTCACGTGTTAATGTATCATTGGTGCTCGAGTTGACTGCCTGAACTAGCTCGCAGGCTTCGCCCCATATATGTGAAAAATACATGCCCCTTGGTTCCTTCTGAATCTTACAAATCTAAAATTACTTTTTTAAAACAGGCGTAACAGCTGGGGAGAAATGCTCTTGTCAGGGACTACTTTCAACGGCGGATTAATACCAATTTGGTGCTCTAGTGAGGACGGCCTAATTCTATGATAAAAAGAGAAAATATCTTACTATTTTTACTTCATTATTTATGTTTATTTTGACTTATCCTCATGTGTCACTATTTAAATTAGAAAGGACCCCTTTTGAGGAGGGATTATGTAATTTATCCCAGTGCCTCTCTTTTTTATGTGTCTGATCTGAGTAATCCCTGCTGACCCGACAGTAACTCGTCCTGTTTTGCCCCGGGACACGAGCAGAGTATTGATCGTCAGCCGGTCAATTAGGGGCGGGAGAACCTCATGCTGTAACTGCAGAGCTGTTACTTACCCAGCATGCAATGTGTGCTTTTAGACAAAAGGCAATACAACTTCCTGGAGAGAAATGTCTCATCGCTGACAGTTTCATTTAGATCATGCATGTTCTGATTTAACAAGTTAACGTCATTCAGTATTGATTAATTGCATCCCCTCAGTGTATGATGTTTTTAATGTTGTATGTGTTGCTGCTTCTTTGTGTTTTCTTTGTCTTCTAACATTTTGGGACCACTTTTATCCTTATATTATTTTGTAAATGCACAAAAAGTCACAAAATCTAGGTATTCTTAAAAAAATTCTATGATATATATTTTTTTCATATCCCCCAGCCTTTCATCCATAAATAAAATCATCACTCAATGTTTGTCACTGTCTAGTTGACTTTAGGGTGAGTCACTTCACTTCTGTTAATCAAGAGTGTCCCTTAGGTTAGCTGTTGTGATTCGCTTAGAGATGTCCCGCCCCTCAGCCTATCACATACAGTGTGTTGGCCAATAGAAGCGTGAGTGTTCCACAGTGACGTCAGTATGGAAGAAGTAAACAAAGGAATCCAATGTAGGCGTTTTAGGCAGGGGGGGGGTGAGTGTGTGGGAGAGAAACTCCCTCTGGAGGACACACAGGAAGAGAAAGAACACACAATAGGGAAGGGAAAACTCCAATGCTCAAGACCCTTTAATGTACAGTACATTTGATTTGGGATTATATTCTGTATTTAATTTGAGGGTTGAATAGTGCAGTAAATGGTGCTTCAGCCTAACATTATACATTGTGGGACCCTGTATCTCAGAATCGATGTGTGTGTGTGTGTGTCCTTCATGCTCTTAAATCACACTCATGTCCCCATGTTGTCTCTTGGTGTGTATGTGTGTGTGAGACCTCCACCGCCTCCTCATGTCTCCTCTGTGTGTTTTCAGAACCAGCTGAGGGACGACCCTGACTTTATGCGTGGCGACGGCGGCGGCGACCTTTCCTTCACGTTTGGAGACACCACCATCACGGCCAATGGGGCGTCTGGCAGTGGGGGGGCGGGTGGAGGAGGGGGGGAAACAGCCGGAGCGTCGGGCTGGAGCATGAACGGCAGGAGGAGCGGCAGTACCTCGGAGGAGGCGCTGGAGCGCGAGCTGGACTCCCGTGAACAAGAACTGCTGAGCCGGGGAACTCGACTTGTTTTCCCCATCGAGGATCACATCTGACCGCCATGTTTGTAGTCCTTCAGAGATGAGAGGTATTATGGGAGGATAAGACGGGAGAGTGCCCCGGGAGCAGAGCTCGAGAAGATATTCATGCTCCAGGAGACGTGCATCCTCTCCATCCACCTTCACTGATTGTTTCCTTGCATTATCAGAAGGACAACAAATGTCACCTGCCAGATTCAGGCTGTTTTTGAACATGTGACACTGTGCGTGCAGCCGAAAAAGAAGAAGACTCATCCTGAGATCCGACCAAAATGCTTCTTCGCCATCACGCCCCATCTACGCCCTGAACCCCAAACTTTGATTTTATAATTCCTCTTTGTACCATTCATCCGAAGCTGCTGACAGTGTTTGGTCTGTTTGTGAGGATGCCCTTTTTTGCTTCACAAACACGCTCTTGTGTGGAGGGGATTGTGGGGACCGTGAATGTGTTCGGCCAACACCACTCATCATGGGTGAATCAGCGCGGGTGGAGAATGTAAATAGCTACAATGCAGAGCTTTGTTCCCGCTTCTTGTCAGTGCATTTCGTCCCATGACTGTTACAAAATGCATCTGTTGTGTCCAAGTGTCTGAGCTGGATCTTTGTCTCTGCCAAGGCACAGTTTGTCCATTCGTCTGCAGAACAACGACTGGCCCGATTTTCATGAAACTTGGTGGAAGGTTGCAACACGAGACAGAGAAGAAAACATTTAAATTATGATTTAATCTGTATAATGGGGTTGAAACACAAACTAAGATAAACTTCCATTAGCAATGGAAGATCAAGCATTAATGCGGCTTTCATGTAGAACGGTGAAAGTCAGGGGGCATTTTGGTACGCATTTGATATCTTACCCGATTCCTCTGCTCCCCACTGTTATGAATAAATACTGGAAACACTAAAATAGGCCTTCAATACATCTTCTTTTTGGAGTCAATGTTCTTTCCCCATTTCGATTTGAAACTCATGCACTCTGCCTTGGTGGGGGTCTGCATCTTCTAGCTTCCTATTAGCATGTTGCACAGGCTGAGCATGAAGTTAGCATAACAAGGGCTCCCTCCACAAAAACCAAAAAGGATTTGGATTATTGCAGAAAATAATCTCGGTTTCAAAATCCCATTTATGATATTTACACATTTTGCTCAGCAGGATAATCTCCCCGTATTAACACCACTTAATGAGCATTCAAGTAAAAAGCTAACGTTAGGCTATAAAGGTAAAACAGCGTGGTCACATAACTTCACGCCACCACCGCTAAGCTAAAGGCGGCTAATGTTGGGTGTGATGACGTTAAAATCTCTTCAGCTTGTGTTAACCACAGACCTTATTTCAGGTTAACAACCAAAATAACATAAAAAATAACCCTCGACTTCGAGACTAGGATACCGAAAATGCTAGAATGAAAAGAAATGTCTGATTTATTTCTGCACCACTCAATGAAGGCAAATTCAACATTATAAAAGTAAAGAGCGTAGACCTCCTAAGTACATCTATCTCACATTTACTTGCTTCACCTTCACACTAAATTTCATGAAGAGTGGGTTAGTCGTTTTTACGTAATCCTGAACACAGTTAAACAAAAAGTAAGCTTCTCGGCGTAGTTGTTTTTTTTCATGCATCAATTTGTGTTTGACTTTAACTAACAATCATTTTCATTATCAATTAATCTGTTGATGATTTTTCAAATGTTATGGATTTGTTGTTTAGTTCATGAATGAGAGAAAATAGTAAAACATCTCCATCACCATTTATAAGAACTTGTTCAAATCGCTTGTTTTGTTCAGATGTCTTTCATCAAATTCTCCATCAATAAGAGTTCAACTTTAAATGTAACTGTTCTAACTTTCTGAAACCTATAATCCCAAATAAAGAAGAGCAGCCACTTTTAACAAATACTGACCATGGTGCCAAGTGCTCGAAAACAACCTTATAATCAGCGTTATTTACGTTATTTCCCCCATATAGAAATACACGGTAATAAACTCTGATTACATTAAACCTGATTCCCCATTTATCTGATAATGCACATAATAAGTAGAAACACAGGTTTTCCTGTTAAGCGCTCTTATTTATTATGAAAGGAAGCATCTTGATTCTTGTTTGAATTAAGTTACAATATTCCTCCCACAGCTAATCTGAGCAGTTTTTAATGAGACGTTAGAGAGCAACTTGTGCATGAGTCTCTGTATTCATTGACATTTTCTCACAACTGATCAATATGGTTTGCATCTTCACTCCATGTGAATTATTAATTATTTATACTGCATAGATAAAGCTAATATGACCTTCTGATTACACAGGGTTTCTGCAGGTTTCTAAATGTTTTGGGGTCAAACGGGCTCAAGGAAAATGAGTATGAATGAAAATATGTCCTAGACTAACTTACGTACATGCATATATTAAAATCTGTCAATAAAACTATATTAATTGATATGGGGTAAGACCAAAAAGCTGATTGTTAACGGCTTTGCATGCAGCCAACTGTGTGTATCCAACAATAATAAAAATAACAACAATTTAAGTATATTATATTATATCAGACTTCTCTTATGTCATGGGTTAAAATAGTTGTAGCATTGTTTAATTGCAGTTACACAAAACAGTAAAGCATTCAAGACAATCTGACCTTTTAAAACCTACTTATCAATAGAATATAAGACTATTAAGGACCTGGAGACGCCCTGTTTCGTTTCCTCAATTTTTGTTGGGAATTCCAGTTTCGCAGCATGATTTTGAGGGCAGGTTTTTATATTTTTAACTCCCATCCTATAATGTAAATAGTAGCATAGTAACTGACTAAACCTCCCTGGGTTTGGGAGGTTTTTATTTGTCCAGACTCATGTTGTGTTCCCTTGTCTTGACCCGTTTTAAATGCACCACAGGGCACGTGTCGCCTTTTTGTTTTTTTACATTCTTTAACACAGTGGCTGCTGCATTAATGTATGCGTGACCCCCGAGGGCAGGTGTGAAAGACGTGATTGTCAAAGTGCAGTGACCGAGGACCTCCGAAGTGGAAATCTAGTTATGTAAGCTGTTGCCAAGCTGCGTGCACTGAGGGTCATTGAAATTCTTGATGGAGTGAGACGCTAACGTTTTCTTTCACAGTCTCATGATAGGGGAGCTCCTTTCTCAACAAACTGTTGCTGTTAGACCTGGGCTGCGGTAGAATAGTCGCAAAACATTACGTAGGCCTACTGTGTTTCCTCAACTCTTATTCTTGCAATACATTATTAAAAAAAAGGAACAGTGACAAACTCAATAAAGCTCAAGATTCATGTCCAAAACAGAATGACATCGTCTAAGAAAGGATGTTTGCAAAGTGCACCGTCAAACAGAAGCGTTCAATCTTTTAAAGCCTTATTGCTCTAAACCAGGGGTGTCCAAACTACGGCCCGACGGCCAAATGCGGCCCGTGGGACATTTTGAATCGGCCCTCAGCAAATTAAAAAAGTATAATAAAATATGGCTCACAAATGAAACTTCTGCTCGTCTGATATTGTACTTCTTAAATATATATGTTAAAATATATTACACAGTAGTATTCATGTGTTAATAAGCCCAATTTTCAAATAAATGCCATCAATTCAAGTTGAAAACATTTTCTAACAAATCTAAGTTGATAAGAAAAAAGCCCAATAACTTATTTTCATAACAAGCTTGAAATCTACCCTTCATATTTTCCCTTAGGCAATCTGAGGCTTCTGTTTTAAGGAATGAGCTGCCAACAAAATAAATGAAAACCTATGGAGAGCTGTTTTTTTCTTAAAGAATAATTTACCTACATTTGATTGATTCTGCTGACTTATAATGAACTTGTGAGGCAATATACCTCTAGGGCAGGGGTGCCCAACCAGTCGATCGCGATCGACCGGTCGATCGCGGGGAGATTCCCAGTCGATCGCGATATGTGTCTAAAAATAGAACAACAATATTCTGTTTTATCGTTAATGTCCTGTAACATAATCTTCCTGTGCCAGAATAATGCACTTGACGCATCAAAGCTTTGTGATTGGCCGGTGTGACCCCATGTGTCGGGGCGTGGCTGGTGGGCAGTGGGCACTATTTCGCTGACGTTGTCCGTGTCAACAGGAGTGCCAGTCCGCACACACACAAGACCGCAATTATGGCAGAAGCAAAAAAGCCCAACATATATAATTTTCACTCCGAGTGGGAGGATAATTATTTTTGTATCTATTCCAATTCAAAGTCCATCTGTCTCATCTGCAATGCGAGCGTGGCTTTATCGAAGAAGGGTAATTTAGGAGCGGCATTTACGACGGAATTCCCTCCTAATTCTGCCCTACGCTCCCAAAAGGGGAGGGACCTGAAAGGACAGCTAAATGCACAGCAGCCCATTTTCACCAGGCCCAACAACAAGAGCAAGGCTGCTACCATAGCATCTTATCAAATCAAATCAAATTTTATTTCTATAGCACATTTAAAAACGATTTTCGGTCGAGCCAAAGTGCTGCACATGCAGATAATAAATAACACATTCCTACCGATGTAAACAGAAGACAATAAATTACAACATCAAATATAAAAATCAAACACAGGGAAGTGTCATGAGTCGTGCTCTGCTCTGATTAGAAGGCCAGGGTAAAGAAGTGAGTTTTTAGTTTAGATTTAAAAACCCCTAGGGTCTGGGCCGACCGGGGCAGAGTGTTCCAGAGCCTGGGGCCAGCCGCCGCGAAGGCTCGGTGCCCTCTGGTTTTTAGCCTGGTTTTAGGCACTACCAGTAGCAGCTGGTCAGCAGACCTTAACGCTCTGGCTGGGGTGTAACGCTGGAGGAGTTCAGCTATATAGGCCGGAGCCAGCCCATTTAGTGCTTTAAAAACAAATAAAAGGATTTATCGTGTCAGTCACGTTCTTGCGAAACACATGAAGTCTTTCCAGGCTGAAATGACTGAGGGGGCTGTTCAAAAATCCTAGGGGGCGACTTTTTTTCCTCAATTTATAAATGGACAGGCTCTGTAATTATACCATAACCTTTTCTCCTCTATCCCTTAACTCGTCTTCCTATACAGATTTACTTACTTACTATCTACTCTAGTCATGTCAGGATTAAAGACAAATTAATCTGGTTGATTTTTTATTTTCAGGATTGAATGTTCAAATCAAGACCTAAAACCTGGCATTCCATAAGAAAGTGACTAATATATAAACCAAATGTAATATTGGATCAAATACTACACCAAATGGACAGACACAGATAAAAAATCCGTCACTAGATGTCGCTCATTGTACCAATACGGTTTATATAATAACATATTATTATTATAGTAAAAGGGCTCGCTTTGGCAAAAACCTGATCCATACAGGCAGCCCTAAATAATAACAGGCAGGCCTGGACTGGCCATCGGGAGCACCGGGAGGTTTCCCGATGGCCTGGCCTGTTAAGTGGCCTGCTGGCCTGAGGATTTTTTTTATGTATTGTGAACGCAACGCTGCGCAAATGTGGCCCCAAAACACACCAGGAGCGTCTGCGCCGCGTTACGTTGCGGCTGCGCCACGCTGCGACCTCCTCCTGCGACAACACACACCAGACGCGTTTCAAAACGTTGTGGAAGCGGAGCGTCGTGTGTGCAGCCTCGCAGTTGTTGTTGATTTTGGAATATTTCCTGGACATTTGTACTTCTACAAGTAAGTAGGCTATACGTAGTTAAATGGTTTATGTTTGTGTCTGTTTAAATCGTGTTTATTGTTGTTATTTCCTATTTTGTTGTGTTGTAGACTACAGACACAGTTAATAATAATTGTAATATTCCAGTTATAAACGACATGAATCAAAGATGTGTTGCTGTATTTTAGTGGTAAAAAAATATGCATTCATCATCATAATTATTCTATATATATATCATTTACAGTGCCTGTAAACCGGAGGAGAACGCTGGCATGTATTCTCCTACTTGAAAGACTACGGGGGGATGGGGGGAGGAGTTTACCTTACGGCTTTGCCGCGGCAAAAATAGGATTCATCCTAATTTTAGAGAAGCTCTGCGCCGAGCCGCTTCTGGGAGGCGTCTGAGCCGTAACGCGGCGCGTGTGGTGTAATAGCACCCATTGACTAGAGTGGCCGCGATCCTTACGACCGCCGCGGCGCGGCCGTAACACGACGCAGACGCTCCTGGTGTGTTTTGGGGGTTAGTCTAAGTTCACTGTGGGTCTCAAACGGTTTGGTCACCATTTATGTAAACACATATTTCCATTTGAAGGGGGAGTGATTAGTAAAATATGCATGAATAATACAAAAATAAAAGTGAAAAAAGGTAGGATAAACTTTAAAAACTTGTTGAGAGCTAAAACTAGTCTTTGCTGCTGCCTCAAAGAGGAGCAGGGGGGAGAGGGGTGAGGCTGGTTCAGGAGCACAGACACACTATGCCATGCTAACTATAAATGAACCAAAAACAAATAAATAAACAAGTTTCAATGTTTTTTCATATTGGATATGATATGTTATTGGTTATGGCCATGTTCTTATGATTTTATGATTATTTAAATGTATACAGTTCTGTTTCATATGGGTGTAGTCTCTTTATTTCCCCCTCAAAGTGCACCAGATTGATGCATTTAAGTCCAACATTTAAAAAAAAAAATCTCCCGCGGGGAGCATACAAACAGGCACAACACTGTTACTCTGTTTTTACTGACATGTAACATTTTATTTCACCTTGCTCTATGTTTTTTAACGCACATTCCGAAAATGGGGACTTTGCCCGGAAAACAGGGACGTTTTGGTCCCCCATCCGACTGTGTTTACAGCTAAGCACACATGCTAACATTAATTAAGACTACAAGCTCACTTGGGGTTGAGGCTTGTTTACACGTTGCTTGACTGCCTGCCCACATATCTGATCTAAACATAGTAACGTGTGTTGGGGGAAATAATTATTTAAAGTTATTTAATAATTGTGACATTTATTTAACTTTTCGATGGCTGAATGATGCTCAACGTGAGGGGGCAAATAAAACAACTTAGGGGCAATTCCCCCTTTTGCCCCCTCGTGGCGCCAGGCCAGAGTCTTTCAAAGACGGCGAAGTTGTGAAAGAAGCATTCCTGGAGTCTGCCGACGCGCTTTTTGGGGACAGTAAAAATAACAGTAGCATTTCAACAGGTTTTTGATATAATAAAAACTCAAGTTAGATACCGTTATTAATCAGCTGTAAGTTTTAGCTTGTTTGAACTTATTCATTATAATTATTGTACAAAATGGTATAAGATAAAGATAAAGGTTATAGTCTATTATCAATTCAGGTTAAGAAACTAGTGTTGCTTGCATCCTATTTTAAAAGGCATTTATTTTTATACTCTACTAAATGCAACAAAAAAAGGGTTTGATTCTATTAATTTTGTCTTTTTTATTGCACTTTGGAAGCAGATTCCTGTGTAGCTTCAGATCTGAGTTGTCTTATTAGTAAGCCTAATTTATA